GATGACTAAATAGCGGTTTCTCTTTGAAACTAATCAAAAAATTGAGTTAGGAGTGATTTATGATAAGGGTACATGAAGCAAAGTTGTGGTCTTTGAGGAAGCTAATTCCCCATGTGTCAAGCTTTGAGAGGAGTATGACCCACCATTATATACGAGTCCGGATCTCCTGCACACAAAAACTCTGCCCACGTCTATCCACATAACATCGTAGTCACACATGGAGAACATCTCATCCTCCTACATAGTATTATGTAGGGGGAGATGTTCCCAATTCACGAGGGTAGTGTGTTGTGGGTAAACGTGAGCAGAGTTCTCATGGGCAGGAGATCCTGATTCATTATATACATCTCATCCTCCTACATAGTATTTCTTTCCTTTATTGGAAAGAATCAAACCCTTTAGTTTGATCTTTTCCTGAAGAATATCCTTAATTTCATTACTAAAGGGATTAACTTCATTTCATCATAAGATGCTCTATGATTTTGTGCTTTTTACTAACTTTGGACATTTAAATCAAAATTACCATTTTCAAATTAACCATGGTGTTATAAGGTATTTTCATGAGTTTCATAGATTGACTATAAAATCAATTTAATGGAAATGTTCAATCAAGCAAGGCTCCTTATTTTAATTTCAATACATATGCATTTGAAGTTTCGATTGCAAGGTTTTGGAGGGATTGAGTAAACTTTGCGTTTAGAGAGATCTCTGCATGCATGCTTTATTTTCCATTTATCGTGGTTCATTTTTTTTTAATGAGATTGTTTCTACGACTTGGGTTGGTTTTACATGCTTCTCTGTTCAATAACTCAACTAGTCAACTGCATTCAAAATTGGGTTGTGTTTTCTTGCATGATTAAATCCATTCTCCATAGCCTGGTGTTGTTAACTACCAACTCTACATAAACTATCAAAGTAGAACACAAATGCTTAACTTACACCAGATTACAAAGTTACTTCTTGAGATTAAGTGACCAAATCGAACATGTCAATGGTTGAATCGTCCGGGTTAGATGATTTCTAACTGAAGGTTGGTTTCAATAAAACCTGACCTGGAAGCAAGGCTAGGTGATGGTTCGAATGGTTCAACTGGTCGGGTCAACAACGAGTTGGTATTGGTTTGGGTCGATTTTCAGTTTGGTCAATTGGTTTAAAAGATTTCAAATTAAATTTAAAAATTACAATGATATTATTAAAATTTTAAGTTTACAATATAAAATATTTTAGTATAAGAAATATGAAAAATTTCCCACATTCCCAAAGGGTAGGTTTCAATAGAACCTAAACTGGAATCAAGGCTAGGTGGCAATTCGAATAGTTCAATCCGTTAGGTCAACAACGGGTTGAAAATATTAGTATAGGTTTGGGCCAATTTTCGATTTGGTTAATCTGTTCAAAATATTTAAACTTAAAAAATTAGATTTAAATTTACGATATTATATCATTAAAAAAATAAAATTCAAAATTTAAACTTACATAAAATGTTTTAGACTAACAAATATGAGAAATTTCCACTTTTTAGTATTAAAATATATTTTTTAAATATAAAAATATTAATATATATCTGATCGGGTCGGGTTGATTTTGGTTGGTTTACAAATGGCCAAACCAAAACTAACCCAACCTGGTTGGGTTGGGAAATTGCTAAACCGAAGCCAATCGGAAGTTGGTCAGTTTGTTCGATTCATCAATTTGATGAACAATCCAAGCTGAAATTAGTTATCGTTATTTTTGTATTTCAAAAAATTATTTAAAATAGTATATAAAATATAAATAACTATTAATTATTTAAAAAGTTAAAATATAAAACAATTATCTACTCTTATATGTTTTTATTGTTTAGCTTTAAATTAACAAAGTCCATGCATTGCACAGGTCCCCTGCTAGTAGAGACTATAACATTAACTTTGATGGTACTCATATTTGGTTTCTTGGAACCTAAGCGAGACTCTATGTCAAATAAATAAATAAGTAAAATAGGCAAATCTATGTACCTATAATAAAAAAGGTAGTTTCATGTGCTCAGTTTTTAGGCCATTTGTTCATGATCATATTTTCCTTTTTTTTAAAAAAAAATTGCCCTTGTAAACTCTTAGGCCCCATTTTCGCTTTTCGATAAATTACTTACCCAGGTAAATGTACTTACCTGGGTAAGTGTTTCCCAGGAAAGACTTACCTAGGTAAGTGCATTTACCCATGCTCTTTTATTTCCCATGTAAATAAGGCAATGCCCATTTTAACCATAAAAATCCATTATTAAAAGGAGCATTTTTGTCTCACTCAAGTGTTTGTACTTTTCCCCCAAGTGCAAAAGTTATTTATCCACTTAGGAGTGGGTAAGTGATACCTAGGAAAATAAACTTTCCCTGGTCCCCATATAAATCTGAAAAAAGAACATGGTATTCTTAGTTAATGGGAATCAAAATCCCATTGACCAACTTTCCCCCTTCTCAAAATCTTCAAAAAGAATGCCCCCTTGGTTTCTTCTTTGTTTTCCTTTTATATCAATGCAATGATGTTGATTTTCATGCAACTTTTGAGTGATGATTGATTTCTTATTTTCAAGACCTACCCTTTTTTAAAGTTGTTAATATACTTTGTATCTCTTTCACTCATTTATTTATTGTATCTCAATATTCTTGGTGTTATATGTGTATCTACACTTTGCACAGAATAAATACGCGGCAACCAGGAGGATGTTTAGTTCTACTGGCATTTTTTCAAAAAAGGGAAAATCTATGATGCAGAAAGGATATGGTATGGGAAGAGTTTTGAACAATCAAAACCCACCCATGAATTTTGATAAATAACACCTGATTGGCTACCATATTTATGATTCCAGTTGACTAGTCAGAAGTTTTTTAGATATCATATCTTTTCCATATCATAGTCGAATCCTTTGAAAAAATGTCATAATGTCAATGCCACATAGGCATAGCCATTTATTTAGAGTGGAACAATTGTTTTTTTTTTTTTTTTTTGGTACTTAAAACAACACACTAACTTTTCAACGTAGGTGGTAATAGCAGGATTCAAATCGTGTCTCTGTTGGGCCTACCTAGACACCACTCAGTTGGAAAACAATTATTTGGTTAGGTCTTTATCAATTAAACACCAAAAAAATATAAATGCTTGGGTTTTAGTGCATTGAGCCGTTAGATAAGCTTCAAATTCTCGCTTCCCTCAACGACCCATTGTTTCTTGAAATAAAAATTCATATGATGCTGATGTGGGGTCTTACGTGGAAGCATTAACAAGTGATCCGATGTGTTGTGGATTATGATGCATTGCTTTTATTTTGTTCTACTAACTATTATATTCTCAAATAAAACATATATTTTATCATTTTCTATTTTAATGTAGGTTGTATGTCAAGTAAGAGGGATTACCCTTTGTCAATGGCTTAACTGGTTCTAGATTTTATAGGATAGATGTGATCATCAAATGATATGATGAGCCATTATATTTGGTTTGCATGCAAAATGAACCGTTGGATCTCAATTTCAGCCCTTATAGATGTGTACAGGCATTATGGACCATAACTTGATGGCGCTCAAACATATAGCAAGAATGTCACACTGGATTGTTTATGGCGTTGTTTCTTAAAACACCCCACCAAACAATCTAAAAGGAAAAAAACTTTTGTTGTGCTTAGGTGGTAGGTGCCTTTTATGGGGTGTTAGGAAACGCCCCACCAAACAACCAAAACTATTAAATATTTAAAGTGGCATTTTTCATATAAAGTGTTTATTTGAAAAAGCGTAGTTAGAACCAAACACGTATCAGATGTCTTCTATTTTCTTACCACTTTAATGGAATTTTAAATCTTCAAGCGGATCGATAAAAAACCCAACCAAACTTGACAAGTAAACAAGATAAGCAAAACCTAATGAAGAAAACTAAGAATTGAAGCACTACTTTAAGTCATGATTGCTCTACACTACTTTAGGCCCTCATTTTTTTTTTAATTATCCAATGTATAGATTATGCTTTGTATATTGTTGATAATTATTGATTAGAATAATCATCGTTTAATCAACTATTAATTGATTGAAGTTGATAGAGTATTGAAACGTGTTTTGTTGGCAGATCCTAACCATACAAGAAAAAGCTCATAATACCTACTGCATGTCCATCCATATTATATTAATATCATTATTGCAGATGAAGTTGCAGAGCAGTGAAACCCATTGTTTATGATGGAGGTTCTCTCTGTAAGTAAAAAGATGAAAGCCACAAACTGTGCTTCCACGAACTTGCTAGAGATTATTAACTTTGAGCAGAGAACTCAATCTTCAATCTTCTCACAGTAAGACGATGGTCGCCCTGCGATTACTTAATTATTTATGGATCGTTCCTTTGGTACTTGTTTAAATTGGAATTATCCAAAATCAGAGTCTATCGTCTGGTTTGAAAGAGGAATGTAAATGGAGGTGCAAGTCATTGAGAGCTCAAGGAGGAAGTCACCGAAGCTCCGACGAAAGGACAGAAAAAAGGGGAGAGCGCATAGGAGAGAAGGTGATAAGTTTAGGACATTTGTATTTGGGGATGGATTTAATAGAGGCAACTAGGCAAGTCCATGCTGACCAGTTGGTCAGGGTTAATTTAGTCATTAAATAAATATTAATATAATGGTAAGCTTAAGAGAATTCGACAAGTGAGGAGGAGTTTTTGGCTAATAATCCGAATTATTGCTGATATTTTGTGACGTTACTACGGTAAAATGATAGAAAGGACTGTTAGATGAAGCCCGATATTTTTCAACATAAAAAAATAGGACCCACCTGCCTGATAGACTGTTCGTATCATTCCGATCCAACGATTAATAATTTTTACGTGAATGCCCGTGCACTACTCGTCTTCTTCTTTTATTTATAATTCCCGGTTTCCTTTTTATATTTCAAAAATGTCACGTCTGACCGACGTCGCCCAATTGAAAGGCCACAAAGAGAATATTTTAACTATGAACTCGGAAACCCCTCTGACGTTTTTCTCCTTCTCTTCGTTTTTCTGCCTTTTGTTTTCTATTTTTCTTTCTTCCCATTCCTTCAGCAGGACGAAAGGTGAAGTTACGGCACTTTTGAATCAGTGTTGCAGGGGGTCTGAAAGGGAGTTTATATTTTATTCTTCGTTTCATGTTTAAAGCCATCACTCTCCTTTTGAGCATCGGCCATGGATGAATCTTACACTAGTCTTCCTTCCAGTCATTTGCTCGGTTCAGTTCCTGTACGTATCTGCTCTCTTTTCTCTTCGTTGTAATCTTTCATAGAGTTGCCTTAGGTCTAGGGTTACGGAAAACAAAAAACCAGCATGTGTTTTTTTCAATTCTTAACAGCGAAGATGATGGACGTCTCTTAGTTTCACTAGATGAGTTCTTCTCCATGCTTTATAAATGTTCTATTTCTGGTTTGGCATGCATTCTGGGATATTTCGATGCATTGAGATGTTGCAGTGCTCCCGCAATGTAAAAACAAAATAGTAAATTCGGTTTCCATTTCATCTATTTATTTCTTAAATTCAGGGCAGATCGAACTGAAAGTAAGTTAAGTTGTTATTTCACATTTATTTCTTAAGTTCTGGCTATGTCGAACTGAACTTCGAATCAGGTGCCACTTAATTATTTTAATCACTTAATATAGGCATGCTCATGTGCAAACCAAAAAACCAAAGTGTCGTTGGAATTTATGGAGTCATGAATGTTAACATGGCTTATATGGTTAAATTAGGGTGAAGAGATCTTCGTGGTGAAAAAAAAAAAAAAACTATTGGGTTAAAATCGTTTGGAAGAAATGTCCTTCTATGTCGAATTTGCTTTACACTGCACCACAAATGAGAATTTCCCTGAATTAGAAAGGTATTTTAGGAGCTCAGGCCTCATTGCCAAGGGCATTAGATGGGCGGTGAGGAATGGGAAGAACATTAGTTTCTGGACTGATTATTGGCTAGCTAGAGAACCTCCAGATAAAATCCAAAACTTAGATTATGAGAGTATTGATAAAAAAAGTTGATAAGTTTATGAGTTGCCAAAACAGGACCTGGAACATTGATAACATAGCACTACTCATCTCAAGTGAATTGTTGGACTAGATTAGTGCTATCCATATTCTTGGTGAAGATGTGGATGGCAATTTGGTTGAGGGAGGAAAGCTCAGGAAATTTCACTATCAAATTGGCCATGAGGCGACAAACCAGTTGCCAAAACGGGACCTGGAACATTGATAACTTAGCACTTCTCATCTCAAGTGATTTATTGGACCAGATTAGTGCTATCCATATTCTTATTGAAGATGTGGATGTCAATTTGGTTGAGAGGAAAGCTCATTAGACTTCTTTATCAAATTGGCCATGAGGTGACAAACCAGTTACCAACTAATAACCACATCCCATTGAATCTAAAGTTCTAAACATGTACATGGAAGATTAAAATCCAACTTAAAATAAAGATTTTCTTGTGATTACTTCTAAGAGAGAAATTGTCTTCAAGTCATAAATTATGCGCTCATGGAGTAAACATTGGTTCAGCGTGTAGAGCTTGTGAAGAACAACATGAAGATGAAACCATTTATTTGTATATTGCCATGTAGCAAAACAAGTATGGGGCATTGTGGAAAACAAGACAACTGCTCCAGGTTACCAAAAGTTTGCCGACATGGTGGGAATGAATTAGGTAAGCAAATGACGATAAGATTCACATGCTTAGGCATCACATAGCAACTAGGCACCCTTGGTTGGGCACCTCGCCTTAATACAGTGACTTGTAGTGACAAGGCACCTGCCTAGATGTAAGGTGCTCACCTACACCTAGGTGACAAAAATTACTGGTTAGGTGCCTTATTATAATATATCCTCCTTAACCATTAAAGGGGATTCTGCTAATACTATAGTTTGGTTACAAGTAAGGGAGGGCCCTAGAGACTAGCCCACTTCCTAGCTGAAGCCAGGGATATCTTAGGCTTTATGAATGTGGAGTTGGTCTGGATTCCTAGGGAGCAAAATTCTGTTGCTGATTTCCTAGCAAAATCAGGGGTCTCTAGAGATTTCTTGTTTAGTGACAATTGTTTGCCTATGTAATCCTGCCAAGCCTCTCTTGGCTTCAATGCATCATCTCATGTACTTCTCTTTGTTTCTTCTTCAATAAAAAGTTACCTTTGCTTCAAAAAAAAGAAAAAAAAAAGAAAGAAAGAAAGAGAGAGGGATAAAGAGGTCCGTTTTTTGTTTTTTTTCCTATTCTCTTTCTTTCTCTCTCTCACATTAAGGCCTCATTCTTTTGCTAGGAACATGTTTACTTATGCTCTTTGCACCAACCACTTTTCCTTTGTTACCTCTTTTATCCGTGGGTTTTGTGTGTTGATAGGGGCATTTTAGTCCCACAACAGTTTGGGTGGTTTTCCCCCCTTCCATGGGAAAGTGGTTTTTTTTTTTTGATAATTTCCATAGGAAAGTGATTTACCCACTTACCCAGGAAAGTGGCCCAAAATTTACTTGAGGGAAATGCACTTTCCTTAGGCCCTACAATTCCTTGTAAAAGAACATGGGGAAATTGGTCAACTTCCTTGTTGATCTACTCTCCTCCTCTTGTACATTGCAAAAGAGCGGGTCCTAAATAAAACAGCAGCTCTACCCTTGTTCCTTTTCTCTTTTACTTACTCTCTATCTTAAATTTTTATCATATAAAATTGTAGTCTTCTTAGTTGGTAGTGCTTTATTAAATACTTATTATATTGGTATAATTTTTTGAAGCACTGATTATTATATATGAATACTATCATGTTTTTAGATATGACTAGTGTAATGACATGTGTTATGCACACATGCAAGTAAAGGGTAAAGATATAAGTTGGTGTTATATAGTCAAATTTAATTTTTATGATTTACACCAAAACCAAGGCAAGTATCCGCTTTATAATAGTATGGATGATTTGCCATGTTTTGACTTTTGAAAGGAAATTTAATGTTCTTATAAAGAGAATTGTGTGAAAGAAATCTGGTGCAAGCCTATTCCCCCAAAAATCCAGGTTTTCTGTTGGGAAGTACTCCTTGGTAAGATAAACACTTGTGATATGCTGCAGAAAAGAAGGCCATATATGTGCCTTTCTCCTCACGTGTGTTCACTGTGTAAGGAAAGTGGTGAGACCCTTTCTCATTTAATGATATCTTGTTCTTTTGTGCATCGAATTTGGGATTTCTTTTATACTCTATTTGGCTGCAGGTGGGCTCCCCTCAAGATGTGGTAGGACTCTTCAACTATGATTTCTTGAGACAGAGAAAGAAAAGAGGGATGGTAATGTGGAAAGCAACAAAGGTAACAATCTGTTGGGTAATATGGGAAGAAAGAAACAACAAAATCTTCCTGGAAAAAAGTAAAATAGTAGAGGAAGTGATTGATAATATCAAAGTGAGAGTAGCTCATTAGGTAAAACTCTTGGACTGCTTTCAAGTCTTCTCAGTTGTAGATATTCTAAGAACATGGTCTGAAGTAGCACAATCTTCGAGAGTAAGAGATAAAATAAGGCCGGAGTGGAAACCACCTGAAGGCAATAAAGTAAAGCTGAATTTTGACGGGTGCTCATATGGAAATCCAGGCATCTCAGGAATAGGAGTATTAAGAAACCTTGACAAGGGGATATTGGGCATGTTCTCAGGGCCGATTGGCAACGAAAACTTGTTGAAGGCTGAGCTACTGGCATTATTACAAGGGTTAAAGCTAGCCAAACAACTAGGATGCAGACATGTTGAAGTGGAAGGGGATTCAAAAGTAGTAATTTCATGGGCAACAAATAGCAGCCACACCCCATGGACGTTTAAACATGTAATAGAAATCACTGGTTGCAGTTTTAGACAAATTCCTTGTGAAGAGAAAGAAGAAGAAGATGAAGAGTTTCAGTAGTAGAGAAGAAAAGAGGAGAAGAAAAGGAGTAGGATGCCAACCAGAATTGAATTAGTTCTGGCCGCCAACCTCTCTTTGTATTATATATACTTAACTTAAAAGAATAAGAGATTACAAGAATGCCCTTAATAGGGCGACTACTTAAGTAGCTAAACAATTACAACTTAAAAAGCATAAACTAATGGACCTAAGTAATCAATGCCATACGTCTGTGTGTACCCTTTTGCAACAAGTCTGGCCTTATACCTTTCTATACTTCAATTTGCCTTATATTTGACTTTGTAAACCCATCTGCATCCCACAGTTTCCTTGCCCTCAGGTAGATCCACAATCTCCTATGTTTGATTCTTAATTAAGGCTTCTATATTTTCTTGCATAGCAGTCTTTCACTCAGGTTTGGAGAGAGCCTCACTGACACCCTTGGGTATAGACACAGAGTCAAGAGATGAAAGGAAAGCACGGTAGGAAGGAGAAAGTCCACTGTAGGATAAATACTGTGAAATACAATGAGCAGTACACTTTTTCTTCCATTTTCTGAGAGCAATAGGAAGGTCCAGGTTATTTGTAATGGGATTAGTAGAATCAATGGGAACTGAAACAGTAGAGGGATCAAGAGGAATACCTAAATCCGTGTCAGCTGAATCTAAAGTCTCCAAGGAACCGACAGGAAGTGATGTGAGTTCTGCTGCAGTGGAATCAACCTCCCTGTGAAGTCTCTGTTGTGAGTAACGCTGAGAAGCAAGACGCAAGGGAGGTGGTAAGGTAGGTGACATAGGAGGATCAGACACAGGAGTGGACACAGGAACTGAAACCAGAAGAGAGATAGATTGCTCACTCATTTCCCCAAAACACTCCCCTTGAGAAGGATTCTTTGAAAAGAAGGATGTGAACTCAAAAAAGGTGACATCCATAGTAACATATCGACTCCCAGAGACTGGATCATAGCAGCAACACCATTTCTGATTTTCTGCATATCCAAGGAAGACACACTTCTTTGCTTTCGGATCAAGTTTCGAACGATGAGGACCAAGAATATGTGCAAAGCAAACACACCCAAATACTCTGAGAGGAATATGGAACATCTCCCCCTCAGGAAAAAGGAGACTGAATGGAGTGCTAAATCCAAGTATACGAGAAGGCACCCTTGTTAATCAAAAAGACTGCTATGAGAATTGCATCACCCCAAAAACGAATTGAAACTGTAGATGTGATTTTCATGCTTCTTGCAATTTCAACAATGTGCCTATTCTTCCTTTCTATAACACCATTCTACTGTGGATTGTAGGAACATCTACTCTGATGGACAACACCATATTCTAACAGATATGAAGCAAGATGT